CACCATATCATGGAGCGAATATGATCCCAACAAGGTTGTAATAGTAGATAACCCTATCTTAAACCCAAGTTTAATCTATATTTCACGAATTTCTTAGTTCATGTCTTCCTAGCCTAAAAACATTTCTTGTGATTGTGTCACATTCAATAAAAAGTTGATGTGATGTTTTAGATTTATATTTATTATAAGGCCTTTTTAAAAGTTCACTCCAATTCAGAATTCATAAATTAATTCTCTAAATGTATTTATCCTAGCCCCCTATAAATAGGGCTCCTTGAATTGTGAATCTTTTCCCCCATTGACATTGTCCCGAACTATATGATTGCATTATAAATTCCAAAATAGACTGAACCCAAATTACCCCTTATTATAAACACTAGCATGTTTGCATTTGTAATCACTATCCAATAATGCAAATTAGACTCAAAACCATCGTATATTTGGGCCTCCACTTTTTTGAAGTATTAATTTAACAAGGTTTTAAAAACTGACCCAGAAATGAAATCATTCTGGCCACCAGTTTCCAGGTCAATGATTCGACTGTCCGAGTCAAACAATTCAGGTGGTTTAGTGTTTTATTAAGAGAAAGCGACAAATCTGGCTTTTGGTATTTGGTTGAGAAAGAAAGAGAAAGGAAAGAGAGAAAGGAGGAAGAGAGAGAAAAGAAAGAGAGAGATGTGGGAGGAGAAAGGGGAAAAAAGGAAAGGAATGAGAGAAAAGAAATAAAGGAAGGAGGAGGGGAAAAGGAGGAGGAGGAGGAGGATCACACTGCATTCGCCGGTGACGGCAACAACAACTGCAACGACAACAATAACGTAGCATCGAGTCTCTCTTAGATCTGAGATCTCATATCTGTGACCTGAAAATTAAGATCCCAGATCACTCTTGTCTTAAAGATCTCTCTTCAATCTCCTTTGCCTCCTTGTTAAACTATGAACCATTGTTTGTGTCAGCACCCGATTTTTGCTCGGTCCCCTCTCTAACCCACTCCTAACACTCCAACTGCCCAATCAAACCCTACAATTCTCTCCAGAACATGTCAAAACCCTAAAAGACCAATTTTCAACTAAAGCACCTTCAAATCCACTATTAAAACTACTTATTCCCTTTCTAACGGCCACGATTGTGCCCCATCACCACACCTATCACACGATTAGACCCCATCATATGAAATAAAACCTATAAACATCCAACCACAACAAATTTCTGCCATAAATTCATTCACCATCCACCTATCAAAGATTCCATTTTGACGAACCAAACGCTATGACTAGAACCCGTGATCCAATTCTTAACCTTAAATTCCTTGATTTCACCATCTACCCATCGAAGATTCCATTTTGACGAACTGAACACTATGACAAAAACCCATGATCTAAGTCTCAACCTTAAATTCCTTGATTTCACATCCACACATCGATGATTCAGTTTTGATGAACTAGATACTACGACCAAAACCCACAATCCAAATACCCTGGACATGATCAAAACTTTCATCAACCTCCCGATCGACCATACATCAAGTTTTAAATCACAAAATGACCATTTCGCACTTTATTTAAAAAGATTCCAAATAAATCATTCTTATTGATGACCACTTTCTAAATTCAAGATATCCGTCAAAACATAAAATCCAACACCTCCAAACCCATCAAAACCTCCATTAACCCCCCCCCCCCGATCACTTATCCACTGGATGTTAGGCATAAAATCCCCATTTTACCCCTCTTATAAAAAATATTCCAATTTAAGCCCTTTCATCACTCGCTAATCCCAAGATTAAAGATCTACATCATGACACTTCTTCCAAGGCCCCCAAACCTTACCAAAATCTTCCTTAACCTTCTGATCACCCATCCACTGAATTTCAGACCTAAAGCTCCCATTCTGCCCCCTCCTATGAAAAATATTCCGATTTAAGCCTTTTCATTAGCCAGATCACCCGTACTTCAAATTCCCTCGATTTGAACACATTTGAACCAATCATATCTTATCAATTCTTCCAAGACATTCAAAAATCCGATCTTACAAAATTTTAACTCTAAATTCCTCGATCCACCCATTCATTAAGCAAAGATTCCATTCCTATGCCTCTCATTAGCCTAAGCACTTGGAAACCAGATCCCCTTCATCTTAACACATCTGAACCGATCAAACTACATCATTAAACTCCCAACGCATCATAACACCTTTGAACCGATCAAATCTTATCAATTCATCCAAGACATTCAGAAATCCGATCCTACAAAATTTTAACTCAAAATTCCTTAATCCACCAATTTATCAAGCAAAGATTCCATTCCTACGCCTCTCATTAGCCTAAGCACTCGGAACCCAGATCCCCTTCATCTTAACACATCCAAACTGATCAAACCACATCATTAAACTCCTAACGCATCATAGCACCTGTTCATAAAATTTCAGCCCCAGATTCTTCCACTCACCCTTTTATCAAACAAAGATTTCATTCCAAAACATTCTATTGACCCAAATTCCTAGGACATTGACCCTCTAAGACTGATCGAACCGCATCATCAAATCCTAGACACCCTCAAATACCCACCTGTGAAATATCAGTCCAAAATACCTCCGTTTACCCTTTAATCGCACCAAGATTTCATTTCAAGGTCCCAGATTGGACGGATTACAAATCTGCCTAATCTGGGCCCAGTTGGCTCAATCTAACCTTACCAATCACTTCAATCTACCCAAAAATCCTGCCCTGAGAAATTTCATGCAAAACATACCTTGTTTGCCCTTTTATTACACAGATTGTTTCGAAACTCTAAATTGATCGAATCGAACCCTGTCCAGATATAACCAATCCAAGTCTAGTTGGGCCAATCTGATCCCAACAATCAACTCAGAATGTCCAAAAACCCCACCCTATGAAATTTCAGCCGAGAATACCTTCATTTAAAAAGATTCCATTTCGACCAATCTCACCGGCCCGCACATGCACAACCCCACTCCGCAGTCAAATCCATCATAACCCTCTAATCATCAACCCAAAAACCACGTCGTTGAACCAAAACCCCGGTTTGACCCATGGACCGATTTTGACCCGAATTCACGAAAATTACCGAATTACCTTCGTATCCCCCAAAATTACCAAAATGCCATTTCAACCTAATATTTAAACTTTCTTTCATTCGAAAGGGGGGAGGAAAACTGTTCATCGTCTCTTAGAACCAGAGCGGCGGCGGCAAGAAGGAACTCTCGACGCAGAACGAACAGCGGCGGAGAACTGGTAGCAACCGTCTCGACCTTTGGCAAGACCTCTCTTTATCCCCCTTCTTTCTCCTTTTCCTTTTCCCCGTTCTCCCTTGTCACCGCCTCTGCAACTCTTGGCAGCGGCTCTTTGGTCCCCCTCTTTCTCTCATTTCTCTCTCCCTCTCTCATATTCTCTCCCTCTCTCTCATTTTTTCTCTTCCTCGTTCTCTCCCTTTCCCTTTCTCTGTTCTATCACCGCTGCTTGTAGCAGCAGATTCAAACGTCCCCCACTTCCCTGATTTTAGTATGAGATTTCACCGCTACAGGAAGTAGCGGTAGTGTCTGTCCCCCTCTCTGTCAATCTTCTCCCCTCCCTGCATTCTCCCGATTGCTCCCACCATCTCATTTCGGCCGTCCCTAGCATTCCACTGTACAAGAATCAGTTCGGTGTAGCCTCTTCTCTCTATTCACCGCTGCAACAACCGAAACAGAGCACACCGCTCCACGGCTCCTCTATCTTTGGCCAATCTCTGTAACTGACGAGAATCCAAGATGTCAACTGGTCAAATGAGCATCAATATATTGAATCCCCGTGACTTCCTTCAAGAACAGCTCGAGACTACCTTCGGCTGGATTTCAAACAGTGACAACACCCTGTTTTTCTTCCCCAAAACAGCTTTCTTTCACCAGAGAAGAGTATCAGATTAACTCTCATTTGTAACCCGTTGATGATTGGAAAGGGCCCACCATCGTTGAACCAACAATGACTCCCTCAGATTCGATTCAAACACACACAGTTATCTATCCAACAGCAGCTCTGAAATCTGATTCGAAGGCAACATTCAACGGAATGTCTCTGTTTTTTTTTTTATTTTTTTTCGGTTCAACTCCATTCGTTTGGGTTTGTTTCTTTATTTTCACTTTTCTCCTTGACGTTTTAAATATGAACCCATGATAATTGAGTAGGTCATTCGTTGCATGGAATTTGTATATGTTCTTTAGGGGTGAACAAAAAAATAGAAAAATCTAACCAACTGAAACTGAACCAAAAAATAGGTTAATCGAATCGGTCGGTTCGATTTCGATTAACCATTTAAAAAAATTGGTAGTTAACTGAACCAACCGATATATACAATAATGTATAATTATATAATATTATATATTATATATTTTTTGAAAATCTGATTAAAAAGCCAAACTAAGAGTGGTCAAACGTTGAGGTTTCAGTTATCGCACAGGGAGCCGGGGACTTTTTAGTTTTCCCTTAATCCCTTTCTTTCCCTCTCTCTCTCTCTCTCTCTCGGATTCTCACTTTCTCAGACTTCCACTCTCCGTCTCTCCCAGTTCTCTCATCTCTAAGCTCTCTCAGTCTCTCTCGGACTCTCACTCTGAGATTTATTTCTTTCCCTTTTCCCCAATGGACTCTCTCTCTCTCTCTCTTTAAGACTCCCACTCTCCCAATTCTCTTCTTCCCCAACGGATCGACGGCCTTCAGCGCTCTGCCCTCCGATCGAATCAACGATGGCCTTCGACATTGGCGATCCCTCCTGCTTTGGCGACATCGGAGGTTCGGCTGCATTTGCTCGATGACACTGGTCATCCCTCTACTGCATCTCCCAGTTCTCTTCGCCTATGTTTTTCCCTTTTTTTTAATTTTGAGGGCATAAAAAAAAACCAAAAAACCAAACCGTGCTTAACTGATCCACCGATTAACCGATTAAAATATCTTCCCATGAATAATAAATATAAGTATCACCGATGTGCAGATCAGGACATACTCAGATCCGAACTCACAAGAACCACCCAACGAGGGAGGTCGAAGTCATTACTAAAGCGGAGTTTTAAGTAATTAACACAAAAAAAAAGGATTACGCATTGGTAATATCGAAATTCTGTACAAACATGGAAGTTGCAGAACACTGGAATGAATGACTTTACACTTTAGGCCACAGCATTCAGCAACCACAACGCGGCCTTTACACTTTAGGCCTGACTTCAATTCCTTCAACGATGAGGCCTCCTTTGAGGTGATAACCCTTCACCTCCGTCAGACTCATCTTCACTTCTCCATCGCATCCGTCAGTGAAGAAATCCCCCAATTCAACCTCCATCCACCCATCGCTCCTCTCGCAGGGGAGTCGCTCCTCCCCCTGTTCCACTCTTGCCCCCAACACTTGTATCCGATTCGAATAGTAAAGACGCTCCAACGATTCCTTCCGATTGTCGTGGCAACGGAGATAAGCTTTCGCCCTCGATTGATGGCTTCCGACTTCCACCGACAGCTCTGACGGTAGTGAATCTAACCCGTAGGCACGGTCGGCAAATTTCACGACGAGATACGCTGCGTAGGTTGTTTTGGGGGACAGCATGCGACTGTTGATCTTCCCATGGATTTCTAGCCACCATATGCTCCTGAGCTCCGCTACCTCTGCAAATCTGTAATAATAAGCTCAGTTGAGTACTGGGGGAGAGACCGCAGGCGCAGGATGGACGATGTCTGATTGGATGAACCAAACTCTGTAAAGCCAACTCTAAAAACAGAGTAAAAAAACAACAAACCTTGATTCAGATAGAGGCTTCCACGTCCAGTACATGGGATCACTCCCCCATGTAATTGAAAGCTCCCTGGCGCATAACATGTAGCACTTCTTACCAGTAAACTTATCCAATGAGAAAACCTGCCATTTACAAACAGAATTATATCAACCCCACGACACTGATCATCTTCATCGGTGAATAGTAAACCGGCGGTTGTGGATTGATCGAGGATCCTCATAATTTGAGTTCCCAAATGCCAACCTTACAGTAGCATGGGTCGGTCTCATTTTCTCCTAATTTGAGGTTACCCTTGTGGACTCATGGTCGTGGGCTGCCGACCCTTCGGTATCTCTGCCTCTTCCCCTGCAACTAAACAGAGGGGACGTAGGGAATTCAGATATCCTCTGCACCTTGTGGAAAGCTATAGGAGGATACGTCCTAGTTAATACTTTGTAACGAGGATGTGAATTCTAGGCTCTTGTCTCTGAAACTGGTTAGATTGTTAGAGACAGAAACAGGGTCTTTAACAGATGGCAGCCATGAAAAGGGAAGTAATGCGACTCATCATATTATCAAATATCATTCAATAGAAAAATAAAAGGAAGAAATAGAAAAATGACCACCCAATTGTTATACCTTTCTACCCCCGTCGACGAGAATTGGACTACAGAGGCTAAAGTAAAGCTCCTTCTTGGACAAGAACGACACAGGAGAAACGGACATCCAAAGAATTTCCTGAAAATCGGATGGCAGAAAATTCTCCCACACGACATTCGATTGGGCTGCAGAGCGAAGAGCTGTTGACACAAGACAGTACCTACACGCATCTCTGGGAGATGTGAGGGATAAAATGTGAGAAACACAATCTTCCGGCAACAGGTTAAATTCCATTCTCCCCGCTTCCTTAACAAGTCACGACGTTCACCGGCGTCGAAGCTGTGTATTTGTATATAAGCAAACTATAGCTTATTGAAGCATATGAAGCAGAATGATGTTGTCAGAGCCAACAGATTGTAAGTAACGACATAAAAAAACCGGTCGAAGCCATCAAAACTTCAAAATTGAAGCGGCGACCTGTAAATGACAAAGAAATGACGACATTCGCAACACAATGACCACATACCGCTAGTTTCAAATGAGTTAAAAAGTAATCGCGCAAACAAAGTCAAGTACGAAAGGCCTCTCAACCGTCCGATATGATTGAGATTGTAGGTGGGCGCCACTGCTTGTTATTAGATTAGAGTAAATAATGGCCGCGTGAAGATGTGATATTCTTTTAACGATACTATAGTTAGATCGTGTTGTCGCAATACGAGATGTAATCCCCTTATCCCCTTTTCATTCATGATTATCTACCGTACCGTAATATGGGAGTAGCTCTCATCTACTCGTATATTCTTGTTTTTTTCTCGGTTGGGCATGACTTGAGGTGTGAGAGAAACAATTGAATAGTTGGGGCCGTGGACAAGACTCTGGACGAAGGACCTTCAACTTGTTGGTTGTTTCGTTGCACTTCAACGGTTATCACGTGGGGTATGCACGTGGGATCATCGAAGGGACAACAAGTCACAGAAAATTAATGTATTTCCCAGTGTTTTAAAAACCGACCCGGAGGCCGGATCGTTTTTACCTCCGGGTCGCGAGTCACCGGTTCCATCTGTCGGATCGAATGGTTCAGACTATGATATGTAATCACATGTATGTATGTATATATATACATATAACATATAAGTATACATATGTGTATATATATTTTAATAATAAATAACGTATAAATATTTTTTAGATATGTTATATGTATTATTTTATATTTAATTTATATTTTTAATTCAGTTTTTAATTTGTATTTATGAAAAATATTAAAAATTGCATTTCGAAGCCAAAAAAGATATTTTTCGGGAAAATAGCTGGGAAAGGCACATATGACTCCTTGGGATGCATAGATCTCGAAAAGTTACTCAAAAACAAATCACTCAAATCGGACATTGGAGTGCAAAGTTATGACCTCCAAAAGTTTTGCATGCATTGAGTGTGCAACCTGCGACCCAGTCACTAGGTCGAATAGGACAATGGTTAAACCGGTTCTTGATTAAGTCAACCGTATTTGACCGTCTGAGAGGTCTTGACTGAACCAGACCTAGAATCTTGGTCGGTGATGGTTTGACTGACCGGGTCAATAGGGGGTTGAAAACATTGGTATTTCCTTCCACCAATCAAGGTCCTGATCTTTAGTGCCTTAATTCGCTATTAACAAGGCTTCCAATATGAATATAGCTCACAATTCACACAAATGGTGAACAAATTCTAAATGTCTATTCGTTTGCTTTGAACATCCGAAAGTGTAAAAATTGCATTAAAAGGTATATTGGTATTTATGAATATTTTTTTCTTCATATCTTTGAATATAAAGAATGTTGTTCCGAATTTTTTATTTTGTATTTAGAAAATTGTCAAATGTTCATTTTAATCCTACATGAAAATTTTTGTTTGTATTTTGGATATTATTAAGAAACATAAAGTTATAAGATTCCATTTTAAGTGATAAGAAATAAGAAGAAATGAGCACTTATTTTTCTCTTAAAAAAGAAAGAGAAAAATATATCACAAAGTACAAATTACTCGTGGGAGAGTGTTGGATTGAAAATATATTTGAACTGTGCAATTACAAATAAGATAATGTTTGGTTTTTAACTTATGTAATACCTAATAGCGTCTAATGGCATCTAAATGTCTAATAATATCAATAAATATTTATTAATCAGTTTCTTATTTTCTCAGATAAATCATATATACAATATTTATTAAATAAATTGACAAAGTACCAAATAGCCTCTTACTTTGTAAACAATATTTCTAAATTATATATGTACATATACTCTTATGAAAGTGAGACTTAAAATGAAAATCGTTTTCCAACCGACAAGTGACAACTGTTTCTATTATCCTCTCCCACCTCTCTCACTTTAATTTGATCCCGTGTGTCAAAAAAACCAACAAACAGCCCACGGAGCCGCCACCCGGAGACATCACTACTCCCCACCGTAGAAGAAGATAAATACCTGTGGGCCGTAGCCATGGTTTAATTTAATCCGTTGTCATATGAATATCTTTTTTTGTCACTTCCGGTTTCAGCTATCATTCGTTGTCCTTTAATTTCACTATCAGAGAAAAAATACACTTCAGCCCAATATCCATGAAAGTCAAAAGAAATTCCATAACACATTCAATTTCAAATATGCACCTATTTTAGTTTCAAAAATATTAGTCCAATGCATGGGATATTTTATTTTTAAATATATCTATTATTTAATAAAAAGGAAAAAATGGAATTTCCAAAGAGAATATATCTATTATTTAATAAAAAAGAAAAAATGGAACTTTCAAAGAGTAGGGGGATTGTGGGGATCGAAAGGAGGGGAAAAAAGACAAAAAAAAAAAAAGGAATATTGACATGACTACATGAGGTCTGATTTGGAGAAAGAGAAGAATGAGAGAGAAAGCAAAGAGAATGCTCAATTGGGAAAAAAGAAAAAAAGAAAAACCTGCTGACGTGAATTAAACCTTTTTAATATAAAGTAATAGATTCTAGGAATACATACCATCTTGCCTGTAAAATTAGATTCTAGAAGTCCACATCTTCTGGAATTTGTGTGTTGACCTAGAATGAAATTAAACTTGAGAAGTTGGCCTAAACCATGCTTTTGTCTTATAATTAGAACAAATATATGATATATTGATTTTTTTTTATTTTTTTCCTATTATTAAAAGAAGAGAGTGACTACAACTTGATCGGCCGAAGACTAATTAAAACCCAGTTTCAAGAACTAAACACCATCTCAATAATAGGTGGCCCATTGACCTTATTAAGCTACCTGAACAGTTAATATCTTGAGTTTACATAACCTTGTGTCATTGCCTGGATTAAAATATAAAGCCAATTATATAAGTTCTATTTAATTGCTGGTAGTGTAAATCCAACCCATATGCAAATATCGCATGTGTTTGTTTAAAGTGAATATTTACACTCCAACTTCATACAACATGTACATTTTTACCTAATTTAAACTGATTGGTGGTGCAGATTTTGCATCCCCAAAACCTTTTTTTTTTGCATAGGGAAAGACACTGGACCTAAGGGTGTAAGTCGGGTGGGTTCGGCCTGGTTTATAATTAATCCAGGCCAAACCCTAAAATTTGAGCTTTAGGGGCTCAAGCCTGATCTTTCAAACCTGAGCCGAATCCCATTGTAAAATTATATATGTATGAATATATATAGTTAGGCTGGATATGATCTACCTAAGGGTTAGGCTCGGGCCCAGCCTGAAAAATAAAAAGCCCAAGTTCTTGAGTCTAAGCCCAGTTTAAGTAAAGTTTCAGGTTGGATCGATTTAGACTCAGGTTAGGCCCACCCAAATTGCACCCCTAATTAGACCCAGCGAAGGAGAACCCTGCCAGCCGAGTCAAGAAGAGCTAAAAGACTAAGCTCCCAAGGGAAAGCTGACGAGATACACTCTCGTCTTGTTCTTGCCATTTGTTAGCTAACCAGTCAGCAACAGCATTGCCTTCACGGTGAGCTTGACTGTAGGCTATACTGGCTGGGGAGTTGTGCTTCAAGTACATGCAGTCTCCCATTTTCACAGGGGGTTGACTTAGCGTTGAAAAATTCTGATGACCAGTAGCGAATTGCCTTCTAAGATGACTGATGAGCAATTCGCCTGGAGGGCGAGTTTATGGGCTTCATAGCCCATAACTCAACAATTGTAATTGTGGACATTCCTACATTACCCATTTTCACTTGGATAATTTCTCATTATGCAGTTGTAGGCACAACTTCCGTCTGCTTTAGTAGATTCATCAAAATTAATTCTAATTTCATTGGGATTGGGGGAATCCATTTGATCCAACTTTAACACTTTTGTGTGTCTTGATTCCAGCTTTCTATGGCGGGGATTAGCATCAATATATTCTTTAAGGTTGGCCTGAATTCTTGTTACTAAGGAGGTGTTCTGTAGCGTGGATGAGAAATTGGTAGGTGTGAATTAATCTACATCATACCCTGTGGTAGAGATCAATCCACATCACACCATAGTCCACATTTATTTTGAACTATAGATAGATTGTATGGACCGGACCAATCCACATTCTGTAGGTGTGGACCGGTCCACACCACACTTTTTGATTCCATGTATTCCGTATACATTTTATACGAGATCTACACAATTGATCACAAATATTTAATTTTTGCATTTTATATGATAAATAAATTAAAAAAAGGCACCAATAAATTAATATGTAGGCAACAATTGTATTTTTTAAATAACTAAAAAATAATATTTTAAATATTAAAAAAATAATAAAAAATAATATTTTAAATAGTACTTTATTGTTAAAAATATTAAAAAATTAATATTTAAATAATGAAAAATAATAAAGAAGGTGAACCGTCAGACTTGTGCTAGAATTAACATTAAAAATTATTATTTTATGGATAAAATATTAAAATTTTAAATTTTAAAAATATTAAAAGATTAAATAAAATGAGAGTAATTTGACCAATGTAACACAAGTGCATTACACTAAAACCTTCCCACAAACTCCATCCACGAGAAAATACTGTGGACGATAAATTGGGGTGTGGCCCATTCTTGTCCATGCTATTTTGTGGACGATGAATGTTTACACATAGCAGAACACCATATCTTACTATGGACAGTACCAAAATAGACCTGTCCACGATGTTTACACACTACCGGATGCCACCTAATTCATTTGGAAATAATGAATGATTATTAAAGAATTTGCCATTTCTATTAGTGGAAATAATAAAAATGTTAGCTTTTATAAAAAATTATTAATGTTGATTTAATAAGTTTGCTATTAATCTATTTCATATTATTCAATAAGTTTGATTTTATAAATCAACATTAAATGAAAAATAAACTTATAAATAATTATTAAAAATCAATTTCATATTATTCAACTAAATATTCTCCAAAATTAAATTAGAAAATTAATCTATTAGAAATAATTAATTTTTCTATACAATTTTGCTAATCAACAACAATTTCAATAATTTTTGAAAAT